GAATCGACAATACCCTTAGGTCCAGTTGCACATAAAGTACTGAGATCGTTTCGTCGCATTCTAATTTCAAACAGGTTGAAACAGCTGTTTACTCTAGATTCAGACAAGTAAACAAGCATGCTTATACCAGCTGAGATAATCCCTAAATCTTGTCTGAAAACCTAAGGATAAGGAGGTTCGGCTGACGGTTCACCCCAGAATGAAGGGACTCCTAGCAGTTCCGTCCTATCTTCAGAAGAAGAAACTGCTGGCTGCGCCATGAGATAATCCCTAAATCTTATCTGAAAACTAGGATAATGTATCATTGAAATAATAGTAAAGTTAAATAAGTAGATATGGATCATTGAATAGAAAGTTAATATAATCTTGCAATAGCTAACGAAGAGTGAGTCTTAGTTTTTAGCACCACCAAGCTGTTAGAACAATCGACATGATTGACAGGTCTTCAATTAGTATTATCTCTAACATGATGATAATATGGTGCATAGTTCATTCATTACGTCCTCTATCCTAAGTGGTCAACTCACTACCACCACATTTCCCCCTCTAGGAAATTTCAACAACGTAAGAAATTCATTCACAAGTTCACAGTAAACAATTTAGTCAATGAGTTTTAAAAGTTTAAATTTCAGATAGTTTTCTTTTCTTGTGCTTGTCCTGGCTTACTAGTCGTGAATATTGGTCTCTTTGGTTTCCTCATCGGTGATGGTGACGATGTATTTCCTGATGACGACGGAATATCTCCCGGTGAAATTGGACTCACTTGTAGTCCCGGTTTTTCTTCTATGCTCTTGACTGAATGTTTTAGTGGGCTTCCAAAACTGTGTCTGCCGCTTATTTCTGCCCGACGACCTTGAATTGCTCGATACCTGTGAGTCATTATCTCCTTCGCCGCTCTTTTTCTCTTTTCTTTTCTCCGGTCTTCTTCTGTCTGCTGTTTTTTTTTCCTCCAATTTCTTTTCCGTCGCTTCTGATGTTGTCCTTAACTTTTCATCCGTCTTTACTCCATTACTCTGTGAAGTGATTTTCTTCTCCGCTTCTGTTGATTTCTGATCTTCCTCCGAATTGCCTTGCGTTTTCTTCATCTCTGTTATTGGAACTGAGGAAATTGGACTGTCCGTTCTCTCTGTCGCCTGATTCGTACCCTGCACTCTTTTGTTGCGATTGGCACTACGGAAATTGGGCATTCTTCTGTCGTTTGTGCGTCTGGTTTCTTAGCTACTTGTGGTACCACCCGCACCTTTTGCTCTGGAGAACTGCTTGATGACATAGTTAGATCGATTATTCCACCGCTTGGAACTTCTCGTAGTACGTTTGGCGATGCTATGTTTCTGGATGCTAAAGTTCGTGGATTCTTTTTTGGCTATCTTCGTCAATGAGGAACATAACGTCATCGTCTTGGCTTGCAGTCTGTCCAATGTCGCGAATGGCCCCTCCTTGTTTTCCGTATCTGAGTTCTCTGTTGACGTTGAAACCGGCGAAACATCTGGTCTTGGCAAGATGTGTACTGGTCTATTTGTTCCACTTGAGCTGCACTGGTGCAATAGTTTCCTCGGTGTGCTTGCGGCTGGTGTCTTTTTACCTAAACCTGAACAATGTGCTGACTTGAATTTCGGTTTAAGTGTTATGTGGTTTTTCCTAATTACTTTCCCATTTTCAGTGATGTAGACATAGTTAGTGACTTTAACAATTTTGCCATTAAATCGCTTGAATAAAGATCGGCCCGATTTCCTGTCTAAAATTTTCCGAAATACCACTACTTTCTCCGGATAATGAATAAGATCGAATTATAGGTTACTTGTTTTTATTCTTTGCACTGGCATCTCCTGTTCCACTCTGAATCGGAGCGTCCCTTGGTTCAAGTCGCTTCTGAGGCTTGCTGCTAGTAATGGAATTCTTTCTGTCAGTTTTCTCAACGCCTCGGACCCCACCTTGTGTGTGAGGTGTCGTTTGTATGATTTCCAGTCAGCTGCTGCCTTCGCCAGATTTTCTAATGTCCTAATGCTATCTGGCTCTTCCTCTGTTTTCTTCAGCTTTGGTGATACGTCTCTGCTTACCATTTCTTTCTTCACCACCTTCATTCTTGTTCTTGAGTCTGCTGATTCTCGCATTTCCTCCGGCTTCAGTAGGAATCTCTCCAGTTTCTGTTGATCTAGATTTAAAGAACAGATTAGTTTATCCCTAAAGTTAGACCATTCTGTATTCGGTTTCCGTCCAAAATGAAGTTCGAATGGTAACTTCGCGAGAATGCTGTGATGTGATATTCGAATATCTTCCAATATCGATTTGACTAGTGGTTGTATGTCCTCAAAATTTGGGTCCAATTGCATTGTGTCTAGTTTTTTTTTCTGGTCTGAATACAACTTTCTACTAGCCCACACCCCCGGTGGTCTCCTACCGGACAGAATATTTGAATTATTCCCTTAGATTTTCAAAAATTCTGCTAGTTTAGCATTTTTGAATCCCGAATATTGGTCTGTCCTTAAATTCTTTGATATGCTATGTTGGTGTATGTAATGATTTAAAAATTTGAGTATTTTCTCACTCCCTGACTTCCTAATGATCATGGCAGATGAGTTTTTCAAAAACCGGCCAATTGCGACTATTATAAATAGTTTTTTTCTTTAGAATCGAACATTGGGCCAGCAAGACCTAATTGTAATTCCTCGTTCACTTCTGATAATTCTGGTAATGATTCTGCCGAATTGAATGATTTTGACGTTTGAAGGTTCTTACCATACGCTGAACATGATCTGCAGGATTGGCATAAGTCTATGATCTCCCTGTCCAGTTTCGGCCACCATTGATATTGTGCCGCATCCACCATTGCCTCCTGTCCTGCGTGTATCCTGTGCAATCGAGCCATTACCGCTTTCCTCAGACATGTTGGAATTGCTACTCTGTTGTCAATAATGATGCAATCGTTGATTACTGAGGCGTCGTCCCAAAAGTTTGCCATGTAGCTGCCCAGTCTCAAAAACCCTTCTCTGTCCTTCGCTAAGATGTGTTTTCTTAGTTGTCCTAACTGGCTGTCTTCTTTCGTCAGCTCTCCCAGTAGGTCGGCGTCGAGTATGTTATGAAGGCCTGTGGTGAAAGATTTCCTGTCTGAAGTTACTGGGGCTTCTTGTGTTCTCTTTTTTTTCACTTTTGCTTGCTATCATATTGAACCTCACTGTCTTTTTCAGTCTGTTTCTTCTGAAGTTTGCAAGCATTCGAGCGTAGTTCGTCTTGTTTCTGTTTGTGGTTGTGATCATTTTCCTCTTCCTGCTCGCGGTTATCGTTTCCACTCTCTGTCTTGTTTCAGTCCTTCTTCCTCTGATTGGGATGACAATCTGCCTTCTAGATGGGAGATCAAATTTGCTCATGTTTTTCCTCTGAAATTTTGGTATAATTGCTTTATTTTTGATTTTATTTAAGCCGATTAGGTTTAAGTTTAAAGTCGGAGACAATGATTTCTGTATATTTTTGACTGAATACAACTCCGCCGCCTCTGATTGGTTAGAATCTGTTACGACACCCTCTCGTGGTGAACTGGTTAGATGTGGCGAAGTTGTGAATAAAATAAAAATGGACAATTTTGATTGGTTAAAACTTCCACCGCATGAATTTCCACCCTCTCGTAATGAGTTGTGAATTTACATATCTTGATTTGATTGGTTAAATTATTTGCCGCGTAAAATTCCGATCTGTACATGAGGGATGTATATTTGCCTAAATAGATCTAATTGGTTAGTATAAATTTTGCATAACGATGGGCCCTCTTGCGGATGTATGTACATTTGCGTATCTAAATCTGATTGGATAAAACTTGATCCTTCTGTATCGAATGTTTTATCAGATTTGGCGGTTCTGCATCGGTGTTCTGATTGGATAAAATTTTTGTAAAAATTATGGACGCCCCCT